AGGGTGAAACGCTGGAATTAGGCTTTAACTCCACAGTACCTGTAGCTACATAGGTGAGTGGAGGATTGTTTTCAAGCTCTCTTACAGTTTAAGAATGTGTAAATGCTTTAAAGGCCATAATCTGGGCACAAGAGCACTTTAAAGTTTCATTCCTAATGAATCTGTTTTGCGGTAGATACTTCCAAGCGTCCTTACCTCAATGTACCCGGGATATCTAGCGGGACACTGCTCGGTGCTGCAAACATCGGAAAAGAGATTGCAAAACAGATATTAGAACTGCAGAGGTAAGACCTCCAATTGTTTCCGGTTACATTCTTTGTTCTCTTTTCCTAAGACTTGGTGTATGTTACTGTGAGCAGTGGGGGCATTGTCCCCCAACGTTCTTTTAGTCATTTATTTAACCTGCACTACTCTGTAACAGCAATTAAAACCTTGACAGGGGTTCTATCTTTTTTCAGATTGTATTCAAAACAACAAAAAAAGGGCTGGAGTTCCATTTTAAAGCGTATCTAAACCCAAAAACAAAAATGTCAAATATTGCAGCTTATCAGTCCTTAGATGAGGTGGCTGCATTAGTTTTCTTTTTTCAGGCTAAGAACAATTCGGCAAGTACAGAAAATACCTGTTGGTTATGCCAGCAATCCAGCATCCGTGTGACTTCCTGTGGAGTGTCCTTATCACTTCCTGTGTACTGAACTCTATTCTTAAACAATGTAATCAAATGTATTTCAGCTGCAGAAAATGTATGTTATAGAGAAGGCTGTGTTCTGTAGTCCTCACTTCCTGTCCTAGAGTGGCAACACTGCTTCTACATAGATACAGTACAGTGAGTGTTGTCACCATAGGACAGGAAGTGTAAAAATGGCAGATCATTATAAAGGGAAGATAAATCTAATGCAGCCACCACCATATTTAAGGACTCGTAAGCTGCAATATATTTTATTTTTGTTCTTGGGGTAAGATATGCATTAAGTCTGTAACCTTTCCTACCTTTGTGCAAACAGTGTTCCTTATTTGGTAGTCATGTGATCCACAAAGAACATAAGAACTTTCAACTTTAACACATGTCCTTGCCCAGCCAATTGTAGATGGTCCTGTTGCTTGAACCCTTTCCTTTCTGAAAACATTTGTGAATTTTGGAGTTAATGGTAGTTGGTTGCTGTCACTGACAATAACAAGTCATTCTAAGGCCTCAATCACACGGGTTGCCTGCTGCAATGTCGGCAGAATAGTGCTGTATACATTGCTGTGGTCGTGATGCCTTACGTCGCTGCAAAAAATATACAGCATGTCGCGTTTTACAGGCAGTGCAGCTTATCCAACACGTCCATTGCAATGAATAGGATTATGCCACAACTGTGTGGATACGCAATTGCAGCGCGGTATTGCAATAGTAAATACCCATTGAAAAAAAAAAAAGAAAGAAAGCTGCATTCAGGGGACAGCAGGATCACCTCCTGAACGCCGGGCAGCCGATGCTCCACCTCCCTCTGAAAGTCATCCATTGTGAAACGCTTTTCAGAGGGCGGTGGAGGCTGCCGCCTGTAAGAATGTATTCTCGGAGCCAAGACTGTCTCATTGCAAAATGTCTTTATTATATGACTAGTCTGGGATGAGGAATGTTTGATGAATGCAATGAAGACACTGAGGGGCCTGTGACCCATATCCCACCCTACATTGCTACAGAGTATGACCCAGCTATAGAAATAAGAGTGTGATAACCACAATAATCAAAGTATAATCCTTCTGTCTTGTACAGGTTGAACTCTCCAACGTTTAATGGGAATATAAGTCCTACTGACCTTTTAAAGAAATCCCCTCTAGGCCTTGGCGCCGCATCTGGTGAGGTAAGTTCACAGTCCTGGAATGGCTTGGAGACATCACCACATGGCGTGATCCTCTGTGTAGGCCATGGGTTAGTTTACTAAAGGTGCAGAGACTGATCACTTAAAGCTTTTTATTTAAATATATTCCTCAATAGCCATAAAGGATATAAATCCACTTTGTGTGCACCAAACGGCTTTGCAATCCCGGATATTATCACATCAAAAACTAGTGACATCTTCACTGTGTTGTACATAGCCTGTGCAGATAGCGGAGCTGTGGGAGGGACCCAGCAGGCTCCACCCACTTCAGATAACTACGGGTGGGGGGTGGAGACAAGACCAGTCACCCTGCACTAGGAGAGAGAGCAGCTGTAAGCAGGCTTTATTACAGGAAGCTCCATGTTTTCTTCCGATCTGGAGGAAATACACAAAGTTCACCAATATTCAAATAAGAATACACATGACTCTTGTATTTAGATAATATTTGTTTATCCAGGTGTTCCGCTTTAAAGTGTACGTTATTTTTTTTTATAGTTTTGGATAGAAAAGTAAAGATGAAAGAGTATATAGTTAATAGAGTAGTAAAGGAATGTGACTAGTCCAGTTTTTTTTGCTGAGCTTGTGTTGAGATTTCCCTTCACTTCCTGTTCCGTAGATGCAACATGAAGTGTGAAGAAATCTCATCAAATTGGGGAAAATTCCCTCCTAGACAGCTGGTACTAGAACAGGTGTCCTCATTGCAGTGGCGTCCCTAGGTTGTGTGCCACCCGGACATCATCGTGCATGCACGGCGGTCTTTTTCACGCCTGCCGGCATCCATCTTAGTGATGGACGCCGGCAGAGAGGGGACGTTCACCCGGCGGGATAAGGTATGACGCCGGATCCCCTCCTCTCTCCTGACACTGTCGGGCTCTCAGCCCATGACCGAGTGCCCGACATTTCATAAGGGGTGACACCAAAATGACTGTCAGTCATTTTGGTGTCACCCCTCCAATGGTGGCACCACCCGCACCCACCTTGTAACGCCACTGCCTCATTGAAAGATCCCTCTTTGTTCTTGCAGTTGTAAAATGTTGGATGTGCCATCACTTACACTTCTGGTTACCTACCAGCTGAGGTTTACACCGTTCAGCAACAAAAAACAATACAGTCAGCATTTGCCTGTTTTGCATGTTTCCTAACAAATGTTATGGGGAATTCATAAAAACTGGAACATACAAAATCTGGAGCAGTTGCCCTTGGCAACTAATCAGATTCTCTCATTTTCAAAGCCTAATTACACTTAAGAGAGAACCTGATTGGTTGCCATGGGCAACTGCTCCAGATTCTGTCAGCTCCAGTTTTGATACATTCCCCTCATTGTGTTTTTGCTCATGTATTTGTGTTTATTAAGAAGTGTTTGTCCGGCTTTTGTTCAGGTTCTTAAGGACGAGCTGGTACGACTGTCGCCTTCGGAAATTGAGAAACTAGACGCATCTTCTCAAAACGACGTCCTGCCTTCGTTCCCCATTCCGGATAATCTCCTGAGTAAGATTCTGCTGCTGTATATTTAACTGCGCTCCAGGCAAATAGATAATCGCTGAAATGAAATACATATATGAGAGCTGTTTTATCTCCCAAAAGAATTATATTTCTGTCCATCCAGTTCTGAGATTTACAAAACCTGCCGGACTGTACAGCTAAGTGTGTGACCTGACTTTTCCCCGTGACAGTTAATCAAAAAAAGCTAGGTCGCCTCCCCGCCCCCAGCCTGTGATTGGGCAGTAAAGAAGTAGCAGCAGTCCACTCCTCTTCTCGCACTGCTCTATCCTTTCAACACGTGTATGCAGCTGGGTCTGGTTGCCCTGTAGTGCTGTCCCTCCCTCTCCCAGTCAGAGCTCTGCTGAGCATAGAATGAAGACTTTGGACAATTCTGTCACCAGTGACTCTTCACCAGCTGCAGAATCACTGAAACTTACCTTCCATTAATACTGACGGAAGTCACAAGGGAGCAGCATATAGCTGGTACAGGCTGTGACTTCCGAAATTGTCAGAAGTTTAGAAGTCACTGACGGTGAGTAGGATAATGTACGTTGAATTTAACTTATCTCTGGGGACAGCTGTTGCAATAAAAAAATGGTGAAGGATCAAAGTTGCTTGATTTGCCTAACTATTATTAACCCTTTTGCTGCTGCTACCGTATGGCATACGGCCGCAGTAAGGCCTTGCGAGCATAGCAGCTGGGACTCTGCTTACATGCATAAAGCTAACTGTAGCACTTACTCTTCCACGGGCTGCCAAATATGCACCTCTCCCCCCTGCCAGCCCCTCCCCGCCATGTATCCCGGGTGCAGCTGCCCCTTCTGCGGGACCCAAGGCTAGCGTGGTGGATGTCATTTGAGAGAAGAGAGGAAGAGCAGCAAATGTGTTTGATGATTTTCTCCCAGCTAAATGAACTCGGAAGTGACGATGATGTTGTCGCCTCCGGTTTCTGAGCTGTCATTCCCCAGCTAGAGAGGCCGGGGGGGGGGAAGCTGATCAAGCACAATCTGTGCTTGACCAGCTTCAGTGGACTGCAAAGGTGATATTAGGGCTCTAATAGACCCCTAACGTCTCTTTAAAGAGGACTTGTCACCACTGAAGTGCTGTCACATGGAGGACTTGCGAGCCTCAAATGTGTGATAGCAAAAAAATAAAGTTAAATAAAATAAATGTAAAAACACCCCCAAAATTTGTTTAACGTCTCCTGCCCCTGTGTACTTGCACACATAAAGACTCATCAGGTGGGCCTGCATACAAAAACATGTTGGGTACCGCCACACACACCAGAGTGAGAGCAATCACTCTCGGGCCATTATTCATGGTTGGCTCTGAGCTGATGACCTGTAAAAGCTTTTAAAGCATCACCTATGGACGATTTGGGGTACTGTCATTTTTTCGCCTTTTCATGGGCGCTCACAGTTTTTAAGCTGAACATCTTTGGTATCTATTTACTTGGCACAACCCCATCTTTTATATTTCACAAAAAAAGGGTAATATATTTTATTCTATAGGGTCTCTGCTCTCAGCAGATATACAGTATCACTCTAAGGGTTTGAAATAATTTTCAGGCCTAAAATGTGGATTATAACGTGTGCACAAAAAATTGGCCCTGACAAGCAAAGGGGTTAACCCTTGCGTTGCCAGAGCATTTTTTGTGCACATGTTATAATCCACATTTTAGGCCTGAAAATTATTTCAAACCCTTAGAGTGATACTGTATATCTGCTGAGAGCAGAGACCCTATAGAATAAAATGGCAGCAGTTGCAAATTTCACGTCAAATAATATTGGCTCAACTCTTTATCAAACCCAAAAGTTCAGTAAAAAATACACTAGTTCGTTTTAGTGCACACAAATACCCAATATTTTTGTAAAATCTAAAAGATGAGGTTGTGCCGAGTAAATAGATACCCAACATGCCAAATTGCATGCGCCCGTGAAACGGCAACAAAATATAGTACCCCGAATTGTCCATAGGCGACGCTTTAAAAGCCTGCACGGGTCAGAAATTTAGAGTTAACCATAAATAGTGGCCCTAGAATTATTGCTCTCACTCGCGCATGTGGCGATACCTAACTTGTGCAGCACAGTCGTCATTTTCTTATGTAGGTGCACCCAACACTTATGTTTATGTTAGGATGTGTGCATTCGCGGGGGTGGGGACTTTGAAATACATTTTTTGGCATTTTTACATTTATTTTCTTTTACTTAACTTAAGTGACATTAAACCCTCAGATTTTTTAACATAAACCAATACTGTAATGTGCGCCTTACTGTAATCCATGGTTGTTTCCCTTCTCTTTGCTGCTCTTCCTTTTAAATCCTCATGTCTTCTCATGCTTGGGGAGAACTTCCCTTTCAGCTCAGGGCCTCTTCCTGTAGTTCTGGGTCAGGTTACAAGCCTATAGAAACGTATACACAGACACCGTGTATCCATTCCTGAGACAAGGCAGTCTGCTGCAAAACAGAAGTTCTGCAGAGCATGAGAACAGATACAGATTTAAAAAGAAGAGCAGCAAAGAGAAGGGAAACAACCATGGATTACAGTAAGGCACACATTACAGTATTGGTTTATGTTAAAAAATCTGAGGGTTTAATGTCACTTTAATTGCTATCACATACGGGTACTCACAATACGGGTAGCTTGTGTGATGGTATAATAGTGGTGACAGGTTCTCTTTGAGATGACATTAGGGGTCGCTTGGCCAGCCACGATGCTGGTCCTGGGCCCGCAGGAGGGGCAGCGGAGCCTGGGAAGCTATGGGCAAGGGGGAACGGGTTCCAGTTTACCGGCTTGTGGAAGAGATCTGGCGGCAGCTCAGCCACCAGGATCACTTCCAGTGTAAAGCCGACAGTCCGTTTCCAGGGGCCCGCAGCGAACGCCGTGACGTATACGCCGTTGGCAGTGGAAGGATTAAAGGAGATCCCATGTTTGAAATCTTCCAATGATTTCAGTTTGTCATTCACTTTGTTTAACTCTTTCTCAGGTGACGGCTCCACCCTCGACTTTGACAATGACGAAACCACCGTGGCCGCCCTCATGAACTTTTTCGAGGCAGACGGTGGCCTTGGCGACAACGGAGACCTGAACGACATGCACTGGACACTTTAGCAGGACTGCACGCCGACCGCCTTTAAACGCACAACCAAAACGTACTGTAATCCACCGGGGCTTGGACCCAGTTGTCATTATTTTTGTATTTTATATGTTACAGAGAAAAATAAACCCACAGAGCATTTCTTAAAGGATTCCTCATACTTCAGGAACATATTTTGGGGATAGATTGCACTATATGATACTGAAATATTTTCATACTTGTTATTAAACCTTTCCTTGTACAAGCTGCTGGACGCTGTGCGTTATTGGTTCATATTGTGTCGGACTACGTCGATTTATAATCTGAACATACAATCTTTTTACCATCAACAAAAACTATGTAATATGAGGACCTACCTATCCTATTTATCTGTATCCAATCACATGGGCCCTTGTACTAAATACAGTAGTTGTTGGTAGATCTAAAGGAGATTGTAACGTGTGGTGAGTGTTTATGCTGATTGTCATTAACTATCCCGTTTTCCTGAACAAATTCTACCAGATAATAAACGATTGGTTGGTGCAGAGCGATGCAAATGGTTTTTCAAACACTTTGCACTGGATGGTTCTAGGCAGGACTGTGATTAAAGTGAACCTGTCACCACAGGTAGATAAACTATTTTATAGCAGGCTCGCAGGTGTCAGCACAAGCTTTCATTGCAAAGGGCAGAGAGAGTGGGAATTTGAAATCTGTGTGCATTGCTTGCCTGTGTTTTTCAAGCTTGCTGGGATGTATTGGAGAGGCGAAGTGAGGTGGTATTTGAGAGGTATGTAGCTTCAGTGACTGGTATCAGAAAAATAATAAAGATTAGTACATGATAAGTGGTGACACTTTAACGTTTCCTTCACATTTTTCAAGTTAGGTTGAATAGTATTTGAAACCCGGCTATCTTATCACCAGGACAGGAAGTGAGAGGAAATCTCTTCAGTGGGAACATTGCAAGCAATTCAATTTCTTTTCTTATTAGTGTTGAAACGCATTAAAGCCCCCGTCAGGAAGTGAGGGGAAATCTTTGCATCTCTCGTACAAAACCTGACAGACGATCAGGTCCTTTCTTCACCAAAACGAAAAGAAAAGGTTTAGCTGGAGTTTCACTTAAAGGAATGATTTCATTTTGGCGGGGAAAAAACCAATGATATTAAAGTGTATCTATACCCAAGAACAAAAAACTTCATATATTGCATCCATCCAGTCCTTTGATGTGCTGGCTGCAAGCTAAGAACATTTCTAGCAAGTACAGAAAATACTTGTTGATCCTGCCAGAAATGCTGTGTGATTGTCCTGTGAACCTTAAAGAAAGCAAAATAAAATCATATCTTTATTGTGTACTAAGGTACTATTGTTGCACTCCTTACCGGATGTCCCAATATCAGGGAAAGGTGCTCGTAGTGACACTTGGATGGCACCGCTTGCTGCATGAATCGTTTGTAAGAATGTCACCAGCACTCCATAAGTCCTTTTCAGGATAACAAGTGTTCATTTATTTGGAACCATGTCAAATGAAGACAGGCGCTTTCAGGGGGTCGCTTTATCAGATGAAAGGACCCTGCATAGCCTCGAAAGCGCTTGTCTTTCTTTGTCATGGTTCAACTTCTTAATAAATGAACACTTGGTTATCCTGGAAGGACTTTTGGAGTTCTGGTGACATTTTTGCAAATTAAAAATATATCTGATGCCTGGTCCACTATTGCACTTACAAACACACTAGACTCCCTATTATAGGAGGAAGCACTTGGAGGGACATTTATTTATTTATTTAAGCAGTTGCACATTAATTAATGTGCAATTGGCATTAAAAATGTTAGCATGAGTCTTTGATTCTGCTGTGTGACTAAAGCAACAGATTTATTTCTGATTTGTGATTATGCAGCTCTGTCTGTCTATTTTCTCACTTCTGCCACAACTGCAAATACCTTTTGGAAGAGTTAATTTAATCTCACATCTATGGAAGAAGCTAAGGAGCACTTTTTAAACCAGTGGGGATAATATCATCTTTAATGCCACTTGTGCACAGATAATAAATCTTTCCTTAACTTGCGATATAAGCTGTGACAGATATCTAATTGATTTTAATGTCTGTGGTTCTTTTGCTGCATTATCTTAAAGTGCCACAAGATGGCGTTCTTCTATTGTATTCCCATCATAGGGACTGGATTACCTTATTAAAATGGCAGTGAATTGCAGTTATTAGAATTGACATTAATCCGGCCTCTTCTCCTCTCGCTGACCCTTTGTCTTCATGGTGGAATCTCAGAGCTTTACAAATCCTCCACACTGGGCATCGTCTTGCTGTGTGCTGGTTCCAGGTGACCGGTGAAAGTGAAGGGGGTCTGTGTCTGAGGATTAATGCAGGAACAGAGTGTTAGTGTTTTCTGTCTGGCGATGGATAAACTTGGATTTATTAGGTTTTGCCGGTATTGGCACTGAATTTCTCCAGAAGGGAATAAAGTTGTGTTTGAGGCCCGTGGAGTGGGCTGCCTGGGATTTTTAGCACCTTACCAGTGTGCTGCCTGCAAACGTGGCATTTTTTAAGTGTGCTGCCTGTGACTGTGGCCCCCTACCAATAAGCTGCCTGTGACTGTGGCACCCTACCATTAGGCTGCTTGCATTTGTGGCTCCCTACCTGTGGATTGCCTGTGATTGTATCACCGTACCAGTGGGCTGCATGCATCTGTGGCACCCTACTAGTGGACTGCCTGTGATTGTGGTGTCCTACCATCAGGCTGCCTGCATTTCTGGTGCCCCACCAGGAGACTATCTGCATTTGTACCATCCTACGGATGGGCTGCCTGTGTTTGTGTCACCCTACCAGTGAGCTGCCTATAATTGTGGTGCCCTACCAGTGGGCTGCCTGTGTTTGTGGTGCCCTACTAGTGGGCTACCTATATTTGTGGGGCCCTGGCTGGCTGCAATTCTGGCACCCTACCTGTGTGATACCTGCAGTTGTGGCACCCTACCAGTGGACTCCCTGTGATTGTGGTGCCTGCATTTGTGGCACCTACGTGTGGGCTGCGTGCATTTGTGGCACTGTACCAGTGGGCTGGCTCTGATTGTGGCACCTGCATTTGTGGGACCCTACTAGAGGGCTGCCTGCATTTGAGGTGTCCTACCATTGGGCTGCCCGCATTTGTGGTGCTCCACCAGTAGACTACCTGATTTTGTGGCACCCTATAGGTGGGCTGGCTGCATTTGTTGTACCCTACCAGCAGGCTGCTTGTATTTGTGCCATCCTACTAGTGGGCTGCCTGTGTATGTGTCACCCTACCCAGTGGACTGCCTGTAATTGTGGTGAACTACCAGTGAACTGCCTGTAATTGTGGTGCCCTACCAGTGGGCTGCCTGTGATTGTGATGCCCTTCCAGTGGGCTGCCTGTGATAGTGGCACCCTGCCAGTGGACTGACTGCCATTCTGGCACCCTACTAGTGAATGGCCTGCAATTGTGGCACCCTACCAGTGGGCACCCCATGATTGTAGCACCATGCCACTGGTCTACAGGCCAGCTTTTCTGTAAATATCCAGTACATAAACATGTACATGCAAAAATGACCAAAAGATGACAAAAACAGTAAAGATAAATGTCAGTTTTTGCTGTATCCCAAATTTGGAATTGTACAATGAAGTACTCTGTATGTCTAAATAAAAGCTATGATCATGTCGGTTATCTGATATATTTTCCTTGTTACCTTGTTCCTATACCTGCTTCATATTCAGCGGCTCCCGGCTTTTTGGTGAACCAGGTATAATGTCCAGGCCGCCCTGACATTGCAGTTCACCTACCTGGCTGGTAAAAATGGAACCCGGTGACAGGGCGGAGGTAATAAAAACAATTTTTTCAGGAAAGTGGCAACCCTACCTGGGCGGGGCGGATATTCTTTCACCTTCGGGCGCTTTTACTCGCTGAGAACTGACAGCTACTGATTGACCTCTCTGCTCCCCACCCAGCTCACTAAACACGTCTCCCATTTCTAATTCCTCACAAAGGCCCCACGCCTGGTCACAGAAAACAAAAAGCGTATCCACTCCCCCGGTCATTTCCAGACACATGTACGGCGTCTCTCGTGCACCGGCCAAGGTGTACGCAGGGAGAGGATGGAAGCCTTTCGGTAAACACTTTGTGCATATCCTGGATGGACGCCATTTTTCTTTAGAGGATTAATTGGGTTTTTCTTTTTTATAGTCCAATAGAGAGGAAGCCAACAAAACTGCTGGAGAAGCTTATTATTTCAGAAGAAAAGACAATGGCGCGCACTAAATAATTTAATCTAATGTGTTCCAGAGCAAACGGCGCGTTTCAATGTACTCAACGGTGTTATCTTTGAATTCAATCCCAGTTATCTCCCGGGCTGAATTATTCCTCTTACCTGCCTACTGGATAAGCCGATAAGAGAACAAAGATAGTGACCCAAGAGTACTCATGACTTTTGTTTTATTGTTCTTAATAAGGGCTCGTTCACACCATACGTGCAGATAACATGCGCACAATGCCATTAGATTTTAATGCGTGATACGTTTTAAAACGCCATACATGACCTTTTTTTTCACTTACCTGGATCGTGGGGTTCTTCTCCTGGCAGGCTGCTTCTGTCTGTTGTCCCATCTGCCACCGCAACAGAGGGATTCTCAATGTAATACAAGTGCTGTGGCGGCACATTGACCCTTCCTCTCATCCACATCACTGAATGTCTGTAGCTAGGTACGGACATATATGGGAGGAACAGCCTGCAGAAGTCTCCTTTAAAGTTCTAGTTTCAGTATACTGTATACCCAGGGATGGTGCTAGACTATTTTGCACCCTAGGCAAGACCAGCTACTTGCACCCATCAGCCCCCCTCCCACGGCGCAACCCCAAATCCCGCCACCGCATGACCCCTTTCTCCTGCCGGCTAGCTTCCGCAGGCGACAGGTGGATGTAAGCAGCCGGGAGCAATAGCCAGTCTGCTATTGGCTATTTTAATTTTTTTTAAAAGCTAATAGCAGACTGGCTACTGAAACCCCACCCAGTGAGCAAAGGAGCGGACCTGAGAAAGGAAGTGGTCTCTCAGTTCCACTTCTCTGCTCAGTGGGTGGGTGCAATAGCCGGCCTGCTATTGGACATTGGACTTTGCAATTTGAAATGGAAAGTGGGGAGCCATGGGGGGGGGGGTGAGAGGTTGAAGCTGCGCCCTAGG